TAAAGTATTAACAATCTTGATTTTTATAATGCCTTGCATACCTCCTATCCTGCCAACACGAATAGCTAAAAAAAGCAACCTGTGGTTAAGTATTTGATTATGAAAGACACGTTCAAGTGTAAATTGGATAACTTTTTTTACATACATATTTTTAATTTTTGAAGTGTTGGGCTAAGCTCCAATTTCAGGTGCTGGAGATATGTTCCAGTGCGCTTTCGTGGTACTACACTCCTGCTTAGGGCTAACTATTTTCATCTACAGATGAAAAAAAAAACCAACAAGAACGAAATGTTTAACGAAGCTTTTAAGCGAAAGCAAGACTCTTTTTCAATTTAATATTTTCAGCTAATTATAATACTTATAGCTTTTACAATATTTCTAGAAACTGTTGATTTATTATAACTATAAGAGATGCACATGTTTGAAAAGTAAACATTGAGTCATTTTTCCAATTAAACATTGAGTCTTTTTCTCTTTGCAGATTTTGATCGTCCTCCAGCAGAAGGTGATGTATAGGCCTATGTCACGTAAATTTTTTTCTATCATTGTTGAAACAGTTGTGAAAACGAATCATTTTGTTTAACTTTATCATTAAATTTACTGTTCAGAAAACATTTATGATTTATAACTGCCATATTGAATTTTCTTTTCACGTAATTATATTAAACTTAAACCAACCTGATAAATTTCATGCGGTTTTCTTATCAACTAAGTTCTTGCCTTAATAAGTTGCTGTGGAATATGGTGTTTGGTCGTGTTTGCCCAACCTGGGAGGGTCAGGTGCTATCTATACCTCTTCCTCCCTCCTTAACGGTTTATTTATTTACAGTTAAATCACATCACATAATCAATACTCAAACACTTCACTGATAATTACAGTTATCCTAGTTCCCACTTCAGTGCCATTTCCATGAAAGTAATACTTATAGCATTTAGTGCTTTTTTTGCCTGATCTCTTAATTAATTTGGTTGTGTAGCAGTTCAGCTGGCAGATCGTCACATTTCACTAGATTAATTATCAGACGCGTATTTAACATAAGTACACTTGTGATATCTTAATCTAAGTTATATTTTGTGGCCTAGCATAGGTGGCTTTTTTCTTATGGTACATTTGAATGGAGAGGGATGTTTAGGGCTATCATCATTATGTATGGTATAGTGATCATCTATGGATGATAGTAAATCATTTATATATATATATATATGTTAAAGTGTCTGAACGAGGAATCTAGGAATCTGTCATAGATTGGCTATATGTTTCCATATCTGTGCATAAAAGCTGTGTTTGTTGATCTCGGTTCTCTAAAAGCTGTAGTGACTACTGAATTTTGTATTTTTTGTAGTTTCCTAATATGTGAAGGTGCAATATTAATCCATGCTGGGCAGGCATATTCGATTACTGGACCTAGGTATTGTTTATACATTTTAATAAGATTTTCTGGTGATGCACCTGTATTTTTACCTGACATAGTTTGCTCGTTGTCATACTTTACTTCTGATTTAGCGATACGGTTTATCCATGTTAATTTAGAATCATAAGTTAATCCCAAGAATTTTGCTCAGGTGGCAGTATGTAAGCGAATTCCACGTGTTTTGATCAATTTCGAGAATAGCAACAGGTTGATTTTTGGAACATTTATTTTAAGTCTATGTTCTTTACAGTATTCAACCATTTGGTTTAGTATTGATTATAAATTTGAGTAAGTTTGTCTTCCATACTGCCACATCGTCTGCGAATTGAGAAGTAAAACTAAAGTTTAGATCTGTTAATAGCATGTCGCTTACATACATGATGAAGAGGATAGTGCTAAAATACTCTGAGCAGGTGCCCTCCACATCACTGTACAATATTTTATTTTCCAAAAAGTTACATAACCAGCGAACAATACCTATTGGTAACTCCATTTGTTTCATACGGAATCGAAGACCATTATGCCATACAATGTCGAAATGTTTCTCTATATCGAGAAAGCAAGGCGCCAGTTCATTTATTTTGGTTAAAGCTATCTGTAGTGGTTTCAGTTAATCTGACTAAATGATCTGAAGTTTGCCGAAATGTTCTGAAACCATTTTGTACTTCTGGTAATTGTGATGTTATTTCTAGGAACGTGGAGAGTCTATTGCTTATTATTCTTTCTGTTTATGACTGATTGGACGGTAGCTTTCCGGTTTATTCGTTGGTTTACCTTCCTTTAGAAATATAAGAACATTTGCTTGCTTCCAAGAGGCTAGGATATAACCTGAGTTCAGGGATAAGTTAAACAGTGCTGTTAAGTGGTCAAACAATTTCTGAGTATCCTTTTTAAGGAGGGTGGCTTGTATGTCGTCTTCTCCCGGTGCTTTGTTTTTGTATGTTTTATGGATGTGACAACTTCTTTTTTGTGATTGTTTTTGTAATTTTGCTAGCTAGATCATTAGATCAAAGTTTGATGGTTAATGGTATCAGCTGAAAAAATTGGTGTGTGAATGTGTTTGTTTTGTAATATATACTCGTTTACTGTATTAAAATAATGAATATCCATATCTGGTTCGTCATGTGTTTTGAATGTGTTTCTCAAATGTTCTTTGAAACCTTCTGCTTTTTGTATATACCTATCTTGTCTATATAATTTAGTACTGGATAGGTTTTATGGACATTTTGATTATTTGAGAATTGTTTCAAGTGTGCCGAGAATTGCTTTGGATCTGTATGTTCATTTAATTGTGAGCTGTAAGAATTTCATTTATCTTGTCTTAATTGTTTTATTTCTTTTCGTATTTTGTTTCTTAGTATATTTATTTGTATTTTGATATGTGGGTCTCTGTTGTTAATGTATGTTTTTTTAGGTGTCTTTCTTTTATCATATTTATTATTTTTGCTATGTGGTTGCCATCTATTGTGAATTGTGTATTGTTTCTGTTTTGGTATGGGCTGGCCTGCAGCTTTTCTAAGACATTCAGTAATTGTTAAGCAGTAGTCGTCTACATACTACGGTCTCTCGACTCGACTTGTTGTAGAATCCGGTAGTAAATCATTGAGGATGTTTGTGAAATTATTACAATTTGCTTTTTTATAATTTAATTTTGGTCTTACCTATTGGTATATTATGGTGGGGTTAGAGATCGAAGACGTTCCAGATAGATGAATGATATCTGTCTAGATCATATCCTACATTGGAATTTAAACATTTATTACCAAGTTGAGAAGAACATGTGCATAGATCAAGGATATTACTGGTATCGTCATTTAATAACACACAGTCACCATTTTCTAAGAACTTAAATAATTGTCTTCCATTTTTGGTTATGATATTATATCCAAATACGACATGTTCACTATTAAGATCTATTATAATCATATTTTTTGTTATGTTCTTTTAATTTGTTTAATAGATCAATATCTATAGTTTTCGACGGAAAACAGTAAATACCTACTACTGTAATGCATTCATTACTTATCAAGCGGATATCTATAGCTATACATTCATTAATTGTATCATTCACTATCTGAGTGACCGGTAGGGTCGACTTATAAGTAAATCTATGCCTCTATTAGGGTCATTTTTATTTAATCGTTTTTTTCTGGTCGACGTGTATCCAGAAAACTTGAGAGTATTAGAATTATTAAACATAATTTTTGTGATTACTAATACGTCTATATTTGTGTGTGATATTATTATATCCTCTATTTCATGCCTTTTGGAAGCAAGACCACCTTGGATATTGACGTATTGTGCTGTGAACTTTAGGCGAAAAAGGAACCCATGAATTGTTGTATTATGTATGGTATAACTGGTGTTAAATGTTTCTTTGCTGTCGTGTTGAGTAAGGTAATGCAATCTTGGCTGTCTAGGGGGGTTTTGATTTTCAGTGGTGAAGTCCATAAAGGTGTTTTTATCAGCTTCCGTTATGTGGTTATATTCTGTATTAATGATTGAATTTGTGGATGTTTTTGATTGACTTGGGTGTGGTTTGTTTTGTGGCTGTGTATTTACTTGGTCGTTAGTCTTAGTTGGTTGTGATTCAGTATTACTTTTTGTTTGTGGTTGAGTTTGTTTGCTGGAGTGAGATATTTGTGTACGCTCTTTTAGCCGTGAGGGCTTTATAATGTGACGGACAATCCCACTATTCATTGGTAAAAGAGTAGCCCAAGAGTTGGCTGTGGGTGGTCATGACTAGATGCCTTCCCTCTAGCCTTTCACTGCTAAATTAGGGACGGTTAGTGCAGTTAGCCCTCGTGTAGCTTTGCGCGAAATTCAAAATAAAGTATTTGTGTACTGCATGGTTGAATTCGAACTGCTGTGGCATATATGGGTGCTGGTTGTGTAGTTGGTGTCTAGAGGAGTGGTGTCTTTGTAGTTGTTTATTGTGTGTGGTTCTTTTCTGCGTTTTGTTATTTACTTATTTCTGTAATATTATGTTATATATACTTGTTTTCATTTCTTTATATTTATAACAACCTTTGTAGTTCGCTGTATGTTTCTGCAATAAGGGTTTTCATGTGCTTTTGGACATTGTGTGTTATGGTAATCTCCACCACAGCCCACACATCGTGAGAAAGATTTGAAGGATACCGCCACATGTTCATAGCGTTGACAATTGAAAACATTGCGTTACAACTACGGCAGGTGTTTTTGATTCCTCAACCCGAAGTCCTGATACCAGAGAATAAAACCATTAGATATTATTAGACTATGGGCATCCCGTGTTTCATGTGCATGTAATTTTATCCTGTTCGTAAGTTTTTGTGTTTCGCTTGAGGTTATGCATTCTACTTTTGTAAATGAAATGTTCTGCATAGCATGTTCCTCCTTTATTTGTTCTAGTTCAATGTTATATTGTATACCCCTAATGACAAAACGTTTTGGAATAGGTTTTTGTCCCTGGAAAATGTATGGTTATCTTACCTGATTTGAAGGCATCTTGAGGCCATTCGTTAAGTAAGCTGTTAAGATCAGCCGCCTCTGTCCCTTTTACTAGATTGCCGAGTTTTATACCCACGAACTTGGTGTTTGGTTTGCAACGCATGATTTCTGCAGCCAGGTGAGGTTCTTTATGCGAACCTGGGATGCCCTCGATAATAATAAGTACTTTGGCAGTTGATTATTTTGGCGTTGTTGGTTGCTTGTATGCTATGGTTTTGTTTATCTGCATTTCAGATACTTTACGTTGTCTTTTGGAAGTGACTAACGTAAAGCCATCGTTTTGTGTGTGTGTGTCAGTGTTCTTCTTTATTTTCGTCTAACTTATTCCCTAAGGTTATATCTAGAGCTTTTAAAGGTTAATTTTCTACGGTTTTTTTTTATTAAACTTTTAGCACTAGCATCAGCCATGACTGTGACCATCATTATCACTCTTACTAAATTTGGTGAGCTATGTGTACCCTTGGACTAACCATTTATCGTTTCCCTTTAATTTTCGATAATCGCATTTTAGCAATTATTACTAAAGAGTTAACTCCTGGATTTACTTCTAGATATTTCTAATTTTTACCGCTATGGTCACCTACTTTAGACTTAATTAGTTAAGGAAGAGTCCATCGTTGAAGATGCTAAGATATTAGGCTTCGTCTTCATTAATCTTCTTGAAGTTCAAGTTTATTGCGCACAAGTGTTTAACGCCCTCTGCGCTGACAGGCTGTCTTGAAGATTGTTTCGATTTTTCACGTCTTCTTGTTTTCTGGTAGTTTATACCTTTTTATTCCCACAGAAGATTTCTGTAGACGAGGATTTTGTAAGGCTATGAAGGATGTGTTCAGCCTTTATCGCTCTAGGTGGGTCCCTTGTGTGCCTCCGCTACTCTGTCGGTCGTTATTGAGTGGCGAAGCTCACCGTCGAACCGAGGAAGTAGATGCTCGTAAAGCCTACACACTATCTAATAGTTTATAACGGTTGTTGAAGAGGTGTTGATGTACGTTCTTACTCTCTTGAAAGTTTCTCACCGGGATCGCCTTAAGTTGCCAAGTTAACTAAAACTTTAGTTCAATTAAGCCCAGAAGATTAACGCTAAGCCATCTGAGGGCAAAATAACTTATAGAAATAATTAATTATGAAATTAAATAACTATGAATTGCAACATGATATTTGTTTATTGCTTAGCGCACCTTGTGTTTTGTTTCGCCAATGTCAAGAGAACGGATTATGACCAGAATGATTAACTTTCACTTAACGCATAACGAGTTTGCATATTGACATTCTTGCAAAGTAAATTAGATCATACCAGTCGTGTGGTATGTGGCTTGAACATTCTTCACGTTAAATTTGTCTTGTTTTAATTATACTTTTCTCCCTAATCGCTTAAAAATATTTTATAAACCAAATAATCGAAACGGGTACTGCAACCACTGGTCGATAACTATAAGTCGCATATCACTGCTATGTGCGTACCAAATATTTGATGATGATGAAATCTATTTTCAGACAAAACATACATCGACAATGACATGAAATAAATATTAACTAATCAATCAGCAAAGGTATTATTTTTCATTTGAGTTGGTGATGAATAAAATACAGTCTTTTGCAGTGTTTCTAAATCTTATATGATATTTATACTCTCAACTAGGATAATCGTACTCAATAAAGGGGATAAATATTCCGAAGGTTATTCTTATAATATTGCTTCTTTCACATTGCTGAGAATTATGATTATCTCTAGGTGAATGATAATCTGAACGCAAATCTAGGAAAAGTTTGAAACATTTGTACTGGATAGTTTTATTGAAACATCACTTATAACAGATTGGTCTATAAGGAATGTGAGGATTGTTTTATAACTATGCAAGATCTAGGAGCGACACTAATTTGTCGAATAATGAAAAGACAACATATATGGAAATTTTGTTGTTTATTTTATCATGAAAACGTACATTAAATAACATGTTATTTTTGGTCAGTTGCACAATAATAAACAATGTTTTATATTCGTGCTGTGTTAGATAATTTCAAAATACCTTTAAAATATTCATTTGGTTAGTGTGCCAAAGTGTGGATCCGAAGGTCTATAGCTCGTGTCTCGTTGCCAAAAAAAAAAAAAAAACCTCCGCACTTTACGGCTTTATAAGAGTGACCATCTTATCCTAATATTTTATTACAGTAGCCAAAGAGCGGTTTGTGCTACTAGCTGCCGTTTCTGTAGTGTGTCAGTTGGTGTATAGTGTTGTGCGAATATCTAAACAAACTGTATTTTAAAAAGATATTCTTGAAATTGGAAGTCATTATATTTCATCAGGATTTTGTAGTTACCGAACTGTTATGTTGATTGTAGAAACCGTTCTAACACTTTGGTTTTTTATATACATTCCAAACCCACCGTTCTGTCCATTCATTGAAAGCTGGAATTATTTTATTGATGTATAATTATAAGTTGTATTTTTAAATTTCTTGCCGAGCCACTCGAAGGCTATCTGAGCTATCCGACCTTATTACTGAAATAATAGCCTAGATGGAAAACAGCTAGTCAACATCGTCCACCACCAAATCGTGAGCTACACTAGTCGAATAACCATAAGTAACTTTGAAATGCGGTGTGTTATTTATAAGATTTTATGTTCAACACTTTCCTTTTTATGTTGAAAAATAATGAAAAAAAAGATATGACTCACGTAACACTTTCCTTTGGTTAGTGTAGTGTACATTTAGATTAATGTTTTCTCAACTTATTCCTGAAGAAAATTAAAGCAAAATAATAATTATTATTATTATCGCACGTCAACATTTGGAAGTAAAGAATGGCTCAGTTCGCCCCACCAGTGCTAAAAAATCTTTACTACTAGTAATAATAAAATATTTTAGTGTTGAACATTAAAAAAACATAAGTAGAAAAGTGTTAGATAAAATGTAACTCGGCTTGAAATACAAGCTATGTAAATCTCAATTCATTAAGAATAAAAATAAAATAGAATAACACACTTTGAAGTACCTTCGAATCATCTTAACAGATCTGTTAAAAGAGAATTTTCATTCAGTGATACTCCAAACTGAAATATTTACATATTAAAAATGTTTGTCTCTTTTATCAGAGTGTATTTTCTACAAGGGTGGATCTGATGGCTTTATTAGCAATAAAGATATAACAGAAAGCATGTTCAACTACTCCTTAAAGTGGAATGAGCCATTGGATTGTACCTGGTTTATAGAAATTTATACAGGATGGAAGGTAAGTGCTTTTTCCTGCAAGAAATCGGGTATGTTTATCTGTAAATTAAATTTTGTACTTCTAGACTCGAAATTGAGAGCTATGTGTTGCAGGATATCAAATACGTTTACTTCCATGGTATTAGGGTAAGGGTTTCTTCCTTCAGAAAACCAAGTCTGTGTATCTGCAAGTTAATACGCGAAGGAAATTTTTCAGACATCCTCCCCTAAGCTAGAAGATGAGGGTCCCTCCCTTAGGAAATCAGGTGCATTTTCCACAAGCTCCAAAGTAAGGACTTCTAACTACAAGGATAGAAGTAAAGTTTTTTGTTTTTCTGAAGGAAATCAGAAGCATCCTACTCGAACTCCAAAGTAAGAGTTTCTTACTACAGGAACTCGGATACATTCATACCCCTAGTAGAAGATAAGGGTTCCTTCATGAAAAAAATCAAATACATCCATATGCAGAATAGAAATTATGGAGTTCTTCATAAAGGAAATTGGGGGACACGCACATTCATTAATAGATGGTAAGGTGTTTTTTTTTCTGAAGGAAATCGGGTACATCCACATCCAAGAATAGAAAATAAAAGGTTATTCTTAAAGGAAATCAGGTACATCCACACCCGTGATTAAAAAACTAAGGGGTTTTTCTTAAAAGAAATAGGTACCTCCATATTCATAATGTAATGTAAGGTGTTTTATTCAGAAAAGGTGGTAATGGATTCTTCTTGAAAGACATCAAGTAGAACTACATCCGTGAATAGAAAGCAACGAGTTCATCTTGAAGGAAATGAAGTATATATATATATACACACACACAATTAATATAGAATGTAAGGGGCTTTTTGTGAAATAAATCAGATACATCCGCACCTGGTACAGAAGTTCAAGGGTCCTTCCTGAAGGCAACCAAATGAATTATTAAAAAGGGCTTTTTACAGGTTTTTCAAGATCGTTTTACAAATTAAGAGGTAGAAAACAAGAAATGATTTGTGAATGACATTAAAAAATATTCTATATATAATATGAAATATATAGATTTACAGTTTTGACTCTATCAATTGTGCGACTTTCAAATTATATCAAATGATATAATGATATCGAGAATTTAAAGCATTTTCTTTCACACATTACCCACCATGTTGTGATTGCTGCAACTCTGAGAAATTTCAATTCTAATCGTTCAAACTAAGTCACTGATAGAGATTGTCAGGCAGAGAAGTTTTATTTTCTTTTTTCAATTGTGGGTTTTGTTAAAAATTCACTATATTGTGGTTTGTTGATAATGTCCAATGTTTTAGTTAACCATAAGTTTTTGGGGAAATAGGAGGATATATATTTATCTTTCTTACTTTCATTCCAAAAGCGAGTTTGGATGGAGACTATTCAGTTAAAGCTAGCGCTCGGGTTTTTTCACCCCGAATTATAAAATGAAAACATATACGTTGGCATTAGGTAATAAACCAATACCACGACCAGCTGAAAACTTCACCTAAATTGAGTTATCTGTAAAGGTTTTTTTTTAAGGCTCCTGAAAATGCGGATTTTTTTTCAACAGGTTCATTCTAAACAGTATTCAACGTTTTGTGGGTTCTATTTGGATAAATACTTTAACCCAATGAGCAACCTACTCTCTAACTTTTTTCATTGGAAAAAATAAAGAGAGGGAAAAAAAATTGATTCCATCTAGGATTTTAATCCAATGAAGCTAGAATTGGGCAATTCGGAATTTCAATGCAATATCCAATTGGTTGAAACAACTAACCAGTTGGGATGTTTGTTATTTCTGTCTTGTCACAGGTTAAATTTTTGTTTGAAAGTCACAACATTTTGTAAAATCAAATGATTTTTTAAATAATATCATTTTTATTTAGTGTATATATTTTATGTAACTAAATAATAATAAAAACAACATAAAGCACCTTTTTTCTACTAATTGAATACACACATAAAATGTTGAAAAGAGAGATTGCAGTTTTTAACCATTTTTCTTTTTTTTCAGTTGTCGTTTGCTTAAAAGCTCCCTCTGTTTTTAATCTGTTGACAATGGTCAATGTTTCAATTAAATATCAGTTTTATGAAACTAGAGAAATATTAATAAATATATATTTAAAATAAATTTAGCCTTACTTTCTTAGTCGTTATTTGCGATTTGTTATAACTAAGAAGTTATTTACTGCTTCTTTTATCAAAATTAGGTCGTAAATCCTATTTTGAAGCTTTCTTCAGCCTGCCAACTATTAGCTTTTATGTCGTCTGACGTAACACCGAATGATAGGAGTTGCGGAAAAATAATAATATTTTATCATACCGTATTGTACTCTCTTGGCTGTTTGACAGCTAACATTATGTAGTTCTTCTGAGAAACCTTTGATTGATTTTTTTTTATCTGAAGTAGCTTTCTTTTTATTTTAGTTTTGTTTGTTCTTTCTCCCCTAAGCTGCTACTTTCTTTTTCAGATGTATTTAACTTTCCAGAAATATCAGCTTGCTCAGCCCAACAACTGTGACCTTAACTACATCGACATTTATGGAGAAAGCCTCAGCGTGGACGCCAGACTTGACAGGTTTTGTGGAACAGCGACAGAACCTCAACGATCAAATACAAACATTATGCACGTTCGCTATTTTGCCGAATCAGAAGCATTGGATGGTAGTTTTACAATTCTTTATACTGGCTTCAGGGAATCAGGCAAGTTTGTGTAAAATCATAAGACAATATGTAAAACATAATAGTTTTCATTTGTGTCATGCTTGTTAACTCCAGATATAAATGTGTCTAAATGGACTCCACCTGTTTTTAACAGATGTTCTGAACTATTTTTGCAGAAGACTGCGTGTAGGCTCATAACTTTGCACGGTCCTTACTAACATACAAGTCACACATAAAGATATTTTACAAACAATACCATCAAATTCCAATTGATATCACTACTCACTATTGGAGTTCCCTATGCATCTTACATAGAAAATTAGCGATTTCACGTTCGATTTTTCAATTCCGTAGACCGAGTGTTTTAATACCAAGAAACATAAAATTACTCAACATGAGTTCTTATATCGGCAGTGAACTGTAAAAGAACAAGTCAGTAATTCGATGGTTAATCAGTTGGTATTACCAGCTTTCAACAACTAAAACAGTGATTCAATATTTTACAGCTTGTTCGATTGTGTTTGTTATAACTAACAAAAAAGGCACTAACATTCACGTTTATAAACTTAAAGAAAAAAATCAAACTGTAAATTTCTAAAAAATCATATCATTATTGCTTTCTAGGATGGAATGTAATTCTATATGTATTAATGTTCCAGAATAAACTTATCAAAACAGTTAAAGGATATCAATATAAGATTGTAGCTAAGACAACAAAACCACTATTATAAAACATTAATCAAATCACCTCCTTCAGTTAACTGTTTACGACAACCAGGACTCTGATGACCAACTGTGTGATCATTCAATCTATGGTGTATGTATATATTTTTATAGTGCCAAAAGTAGTTACTAGCTGTTCCAATTACAATACTCTCCGGCCTCTGCTTGGGAATAAGCAAGTTTTCTATAATTCGGATACTCTGTTTTTTATCATTGGCCCTTGCTAAGATTTTAAACCAATTAAAATAAACGACAACGTAACATTATCTTAGGGCATGTTCAAACACATTTAACTTAGTTGGGGATCGTATATATATATATATATAATTTGTATTCGGTGGTGTTACATAATCTTATTTCAGTTCTCACTGTGAAGTAAAACACGAGTTTAAAAGGCTTGTGATTTTTAATGAACCATAACACATCAAGGAAGCCTCCAGATATTTCACTCACGTGGAGAACTATCAGAAAAATCAAAGCAGTCCAATTACAGCCATAATGGTGCCAAAAACACGTCCAGTGGACCAATAACATGTAGAAGCACAGTGCAGGCAGGGATAAACATTCAGGAGATACCGATTTATACATCTCCTGAGATGATCTCAATAATTCCACACATTAAGGGACTACATCCAATGGCTCTTTGTGCGACCATATTCCAGTGCAGTTGACCCTGACTGCAGCCTAATGTATGATAACTCCCATCCTACCATGATAAAGTAGTCGACTTATTCCCTGAAGTAAAGGAGAGTGGCCTCAACATTCACAGGATTTCAATCCCACCGTGCATGTGCGGTATGCGTGTCGCATTCCGTCAAGTGACCCCAGACACTGAAGCTCTGTCAAATGAGAGGTAGAAAATACCTTAGTTTTTTATTAATATCCTACATCATCAGTGCTAGGCTGCTCTTGCCGTTCGTGGTAACCATACTCTATGTTGGAGTGAAGTAACATGAGTTCTAAATATGATAAACCATTTTTAAGAAACGTTTATTTACGAAGATAAGCTATATAACATATCAGTTGCATTTAAGATCACATGATGGGTTATTGGGGATTAAAGCATGCAACATCACTGCCAGGGTTTTACCTAAAAATTAACTAAGTGAGGGGATGATTCAAAGTTATGTTAGAATAGTGGTGTTACTTTGTAATAGCTAATGTATTTATACATTCCAATTCATGATGTCAGAAAAACACGTAGGTTCAAGATGCCTTGATACAAAATGATAAAAAACCCGAGCGATTTCGAAAGCGCTCGGATTATAGGGTTATTATTAGTTTATAAATTCCAATTATCTTTAATCATGTTGTATAATATACTTATGTAGAAATAATGCTTTAACATTAAAGGTTTGCGTGTGTACACAAGACCCATAAATCATGTGATCGCATTTGAAAACGCATACCAATTCTGCACACCGCGGGTAATCGAACCCCGGATTTTACCGTTGCAAGTCCTTACTGCTGTCCCACCGGGGGACAGGCATTTTGGAAAACTTATAAAACTCTCAAGCATCACACCATACCCAAGGAAGAATGAGCAAAAACTACTTTTTTTGAAACAGATTGTTTTCTCTTGAAACAGTCATGGAACACTTGCTTTAAAATGCGATGTTTCAAGTAAGTGAAATATTTTCAGAAAAACATTAGTATATACTGAATTTTACCATTTTAAAGTGCTTTTCAAGTTATTAAAATGTGATTGTTTATTTGTGCGTGTATGTATAAGGCATATTTTGCCACATTTTAGAAATCTGATTTATTTTGAAAGAAACATCGTCATATTTTCGCCTTCATACATTTTGTGAGAAATGTGACCAATACATCCAACAACAGAACTATAACTCGTTCAAACTGAAGCTAAAAAAACTTTGGCCTGAAATCGCCTGGTGGTTAGGGTGCTCGACTCTCAATCTGTGGATCGCTGGCTTGAATCCCGTCACCGAACATGCTTGCCCTTTCATCCTTGGGAGTGTAATAATGTGACAGTCAATCCCACTATTAGTTGGTAAAAAATATCCAAAAGAGTTGGCGGTGGGCGATGTTGACTAGCTGCTTTCTTTCTATTCTGCCATTTCTAGATTAGGGACGGCTAGCGTAGATAACTCTCGAGTAGCCTTGCGAGAATTTCCAAAACAAACAAAGAATGCTAAAAACTCGCTCAAACCGTTTCGATAGATACTTTTCAATATACAAATCAGACTGAACATGCATTTTTCATTTTAGTTGGCCTGGTGGTTAGGGTACTCGACTCTCAATCTGCTGGTCGCGGGTTCGAAACCCCTCCACTGAACATACTCGCCTTTTCAGCCGTGGAGGCGTTATAATGTGTCGGTCAATTCCATTATTCGTTGGTAAAAGAGTAGCTCAAGAGTTGGCGGTGGGTGGTGTTTAATAGTTGCTTTCTATCACTTCTAAATTAGGGACAGCTAACGCAAATAACCTTCGAGTAGCTTTGCGCGAATTTCCAAAACAAACAAACAATGCTAAAAACACTCGTTCAAACTTTTTCAACAGACGCATTTCTATTTACAAATGAACTGAACATGCCCTTTTCCTTTTAGTTGTGGTTCTGAAAAAAAGGTCGTTATTGTACTATACATACAAAAGACTTCATTATCCGAAACACATCTAAGCAGTCTCAACCCCCATCTCCATCTCCGGCCAGTTTTTATTTTTCCTGATAAACGAATATATAACGGACCTGGAAACCCAACATTCAGAGAATAAGTCCATCTTATCATCCCTGGTGGCCACAAACTCATTTTTACATTTACTTCTATTAAACTGCCATGAGCTTTACACTTCTAAACTAATTGTATCTCTTCCGTTAATATGAAGCTTTCAATAGAAGGGAAAAAGAAATGCTATACGTTATTCACTAAGCATTTTGGATTTATTTTTTTTGATCTTACTCTTTTCACTTTGACAGCAAAAACCAAATTATTTTGGGAGTTGAGGAAAGCATGCCAACAATCTCGTTACAGCACAAATCTGTGACCTTTTTTGTTCCATGGCATTTTTAAATACTGATCAAATAAAATGTATGGACGATATAAACAGCTGTTAGTCACGTTTTTATACGTAATTTCTGTTGATCAGTTGTAAGTGGACAATTTGATGGTGTGTGTGTGTGTTTTCGTGTTTATATATATACATAAATAAAAGTTGTATTTACTCATCCTAGTGGGAAGTACTCGTTGAACAATGTATTGTAATTAATCTAATGTCGTGCGTGTTGGGGAAGTACGATGTCCGTTCAGTAATCCCAGATAAGGAATTTGGTAGTAAGTATGTCTTATTCAAATCCTCAGTAAAATGTTTTTGATGAACATTTCCATTCTTAAATTCTAGGTGGCGCGTTTTTCCATTCTTAAATTCTAGGTGGCGCGTTTATTGGTAAACATTTTTGATAATTAGTTTTAAATGGAATGTTTGAGGGTTTGAAAGTTCTCATTAATTCTAGGTGTTTGTTTGGAACCTATGTGTTTTCTGTTCATCAATCCTAGATGGTGTGGGATGAGATGATGCGCATTTTTATGATGATTACTGTAAAGTGGTTTGTTTGGTAGTGGATCGTGTCTGTCCATTAAATCAAGGTAATATGTTTATTGTATATATTTTGTTTTATTTAATCCTCTGGGGTTTGTTTGATTCTTTACAGTTTCTGATCGTTAACCCACGGTGTTATGTTGATTGTATACAGTTTCTGATCGTTAACCCACGGTGTTAGGTTGATTGTACACAGTTTCTGATCGTTAGCCCACGGTGTTAGGTTGATTGTACATAGTTTCTGATCGTTAGCCCACGGTGTTAGGTTGATTGTACATAGTTTCTGATCGTTAGCCCACGGTGTTAAGTTGATTGTACATAGTTTCTGATCGTTAACCCACGGTGTTATGTTGATTGTTCACAGTTTCTGATCGTTAGCCCACGGTGTTAGGTTGATTGTACATAGTTTCTGATCGTTAACCCACGGTGTTAAGTTGATTGTACATAGTTTCTGATCGTTAACCCACGGTGTTAGGTTGATTGTACATAGTTTCTGATCGTTAGCCCACGGTGTTAGGTTGATTGTACATAGTTTCTGATCGTTAACCCACGGTGTTAGGTTGATTGTACACAGTTTCTGATCGTTAGCCCACGGTGTTAGGTTGATTGTATACAGTTTCTGATCGTTAACCCACGGTGTTAGGTTGATTGTACACAGTTTTTGTTCTTTAATTCAAAGTGGTAACTTGATTGTATATAGTTTTTGTTCATTAATCCAAAGTGGTAGCTTGACTGCATACAGCTTCTGTTCTTTAATACTT